ATATATCAACAAATATTGGTATGGTCTTGTGGGCCGTATTACTATTTGACGAAGGAGGATGGGAAAAGTTACAAACTTTCTGACGTCAGTGGTTTCTGAGCTGGTTCAGAGAAAGAGAGCGAGAAGAAACAGAGACGTGGGAAATAAGAACGTCAGGTTTTTATTGATTTGACATGTCAATGTAGAAGGAAATTAATTACTACTCTCCCAAGTAGCGACAACCTACGCAGGAAAACAACTACAAAAGCAGTAGACTTGAAAACAAACAAATTACTACACACAATTTACAAAAGAGAAGAGAAGACGAAGGTGAAGAAAGAAGGGTCCAAGTCCACTCTCCAGGTCTTGTAAACGTAGGTGGTGCCGGTGCCGGTGCCGGTGCCGGTGCCGGTGGGAGGAAAAAAGAAACTCATTATTATTTTGGTTTTTATTTCTGGCGTCCCGCTACTGATTTTTGCTGTCTAACTAACGTGTAATGTTACAGAAAGAAAAAACAAACACTTGAGAAACGAACACATGTCACGCGCGGCACGCGGTTGGTCTAACCGAGTGGCGTGAAATGGATATATCACATCACTCCTATTGTTGATTAGTATTATTTCATGTGGCCCACACTAAACAAAATTCTAGCGCAACGGATCTTCTGTCCCACATTCTGTGCCACTCTCTGTCCTACTTTTTATTTTATTGCTATTTCTCATTCATAAACATCATGTTTTAATTCTTTCTTGCTTCCTTAAGATCCAATAACTATTAATTGAAATGCACAGTATTTGTGCCTGCAGTATTTGTGCCTGCAGACAGAAATGCTTTTCTGTTGCTGTTTCTTTTTTTTCTTTTTTTTTAAATCACAAAAGCTCCCTTGAGGTTTACTAATAAAAGTTTTGCATTTTACTTCTAACGAAGTTATTTTTTTTTTCGCTTTACCCTCTAAAAGTCTAAACCGCTAGTCTAACGCTAACATTGCGTAGTGAAAATGTTAAAATGAGATTATTGATACCCCTAAGGGTTAATTACAGTAAATCCCTCTAAGATAAACAAGTTATTTTGCAGTTTACTATCATTTTTCTCTTAATTTATTTGGCTACTAAAAAAAAAAAAAAGCTTAGCCATATACACATTTTAAAAGAAAAACTAACAATATCTCAGTCATTTTTAGATTTTTAAAATATTTTTACATTTTAATTTTTTAATAACAATTTTTATTTGTTTTTTTCCATTATTAAGTCAAATTAGCAAGATACTCTCCTAATCTAAAAAAAAAAGTGCAATTATTGAAATTTAACTAGTACCATATATATATAAATGTCATTTTTTATTATTATGTTTTTTAGATATTAATTGTCTTGTGTGTTATCAAATACTGGAGTTCACTTATGATTTTAGTAACAAATAAAAAAATGATGTTAGGGGGATAAAGCGCAAAACAAATTGTACATTAAGGGGATTTACCATAGCTATCTCTTAGAGGTATAGAGACCCTTTTGACATCACCATTATACAATATTAAAGTTGATTGCGATTAAGGGGATAAAGTGAAAATTAAATTACGTTTAGGGACAAAGCGCAAAAGTGGCTATAACTCAGGGGAGTTCTTGAACTATTTAGTGTAATAGTTCAAGAAATTCTCATTTCTTGTTCTTTAGCATGTTTTGGCTTTTTTGCGTGCAAATATTCTCTTTTGTGTTTTTTTTTTCTTTTTCATATTAACACATCAAAGCAAATGACAAATTTTTTTTTTTTTTTTTTTTTTTTGAAGTGGTGGCTTCTAAATTCTGGTTTTCTATATTGTTTGGAGAAGATAAACGCTGGTTGATGCGTGGCTTAGGAATTAAGTTTGAGGGAACTATTGTGTCAACGATGATTATTTGTCCAATGGCTGGTGTAACATTACAATCTTCTTTCCTCGCAGAGTTTGATTGCGATATGACTTCTTTGAGAGACAAGCGAGTAATCTTTGTCCATTGTGGACCAGCTAGTTGTACATGCCCAGAAATCAATTCCTTTTTCCTCGTGTCTGTGTCAAGTAATAATCCCTACTGCTTCTTTCACCTTTGGATGCTTCGGTACTTCATTCTGCATGGGCTGTAGCTCTTTAAGATCATGATAATAGTCATAGTGAGGATTTTTTTTTTTTCGATAATGATAATATTTGTATAATTTACTCTGTCCTATTCTAGAAGAAGAGACGACGGACTATTATAAGTTTTGATGATGACCAACAGACCAAATAGCCGTTGACAGTCGGCAGTCATAGTCAGTATCAAGATCCATTTTTTGCACGAGTTTCTCCTCTCCTTGGTCCTATAACCTTTTCTGCTACTTGAACGTAAAGAAAAGGTATATATATGGGTTCACTCTTAAACTTTTGTTTGGACCCTTAGCCAAGAAGATTAATACTACCAGAAAAAAAAAATCTAATAGAAAATGTGCCTGTTCAACCTAATTATAGGTGGATCATAGTGCTCTGCAATGAATAATATTTTTGAATAGGCTTTTACGCAAGCAAAAGAGAAATTAAATTAATGGTTGGACAATTAAGTTAAATCAGGTGATGAACACTTGTTACCTAAGTATCTTTTTTTTTTTTTATTTATTTATTAATGTTTCGTGTTGCATCCCGTCATAGAAGTGGACAAATAGAGATGTACACTTAGCTTTCTGCTGGTCGGTACTTTGAATTACTAAATGATAAGCTCATGAGTCTTATGTGGCCTCCAATTTTTCTCTCTATCTTGTCCTGTATTTTTACTTTTTATATGATGATGCATCCCCCTTGGCTTGGCTTGAGAACCAATGGAATTTTCCAGTGTTGCTAGTGCAGATTTTTAGTGGTACAAAAGTGACCTGACCTGTCTCACCGGTCCCAGGCCCTGGAAAAGGTTAGGTCCTGAAAACGGCCCCCAATTCTTCTTCTTCAAAGTGCTACTGCCTAAAACTAAAAGGCATTCTTTGCGAAGAATCATCTGGTCATCTGGTAAAATTAAGAGTCATTCTGACTAAATTGCTTCATTTGGAATTCAGAAATCTAAGATGAACAGTTGCAGGTACTTACAGAATCCTAGTGGTAAGGGTAGCCGAAGGATGATGATGGGTTCAGCTGTTCAGGTTTGAATTCAATCTCAAGGCATTAACATTTAATATAACAGGAGCTGGAAAGGGAACCTTTGCTTAATTTAAAACTTTAGAAGGGGACCAAAGCAAAAAGGATGACCATTTCAGGAAACCAAACGTGTATTTAATTTACTTCACTCACCAGAAACTGGAAAGTGCTACTAGCATGGAGATGGTTAATTTATCATACACATAATTCACATGCTGTCCTATTCTATGACTGATCCACCTTTTCACATAATTCACTGTTTTAATGCTCAATTGTTTAATCAGGCAAACAGGAAAGATGGAGATTTTTATTTAATTAGATACGATAGACCTCCGTTACTTTATACTAGAGGGAGAAGAGATCTGAAGAAATCCAAGGACAATTCGAAGGGAATTAAACTATTATCGGTTCAAATGGATGCCTACGCACCTGCTAACGATATTTTCAGAAAAGTCTGAATTTTTAAGAACGTAGACAATAAGATGTGCACAAGAAACGAGTTTACTTGTATCCTTTCTGTTTCTTGGAAGTAATTTTACCTGTATGAAAGAAATATTTTGCATAGGACTTTCGTTTTATTACTACATTTTATTGTGGGAATAGGGTAACAAGTCTAAACTTTTATGCTGTGTACGTCAACACGAGCAACTATAAATATGTCCTTGTTCTCTTTTCTGCAACATACAATCCATTTCTCTTTAATTTTTACATTAAAGGAGAGAAAGGAAGGCGGAAAATAGAATAGGATAATTGGCACTTCAAATTGAATCCAAGAATAAAATTCTCATCCACCATTTATACTAGCCATTTGGATGTAGGGAAGCAATTTGCGATTCTCGAGAATTCACAAAATTATATTGCTATTTCCTAATAAATGTACTAATCCTACCAAAATTTATCTTGTTAATCTCCTCAATGTACTGAACCCGTATTCAGTTCCACTTAATTAGGGGTCTAACTATAACAATTTAAAGAGTACATAACGCTTTAATGAGTGCCCCCTTACCCAAATCCCTCTCATTATTATAGGAGTAATTAATTACAAATTCTACATATTGCTTTTGTTTATGAGATTACTTAAGTTTTTCCTTTGTCAAAAAATTTTCCTTCAGGTTAAGGTAAAATACAAGAGTGGTTTTAAACTTGTGGCTGTCATATATGTTGAATTGCAAGGTGAGGACCAGAGTTTCAAGGAGATACACACCCTTAATTTTCCGGTATACCCCCTAAAATGTCTTTCATCCCTTGGAATACTTCCTAAGTAACGCCTGAGCAAATCCAAAATGAGGCATACACCCCAGGACCAAGACAAGAGACTTGGTTTCCCTTTGACATCTTCCTGTTTCTCTCTTCTCCACTTTGCCTTTGTTCATTCTCATTGGAGGTTCATCTCACATTGAAGAGAACAAAATGGTAAGCCCTTACTACATTTACAAAATGCATCATCCATTGTGAGTATGTTTTCCATCTTTTCTAAAATTGTAGAAACAAATTTTGATTGCACATGCATGGTGAGACGTTTTAAGCATAAATCATTGAGTTCAAAATGTTTCACCTAAATTATTCACAACCATCTAAGGAGGTATTATTTTCTAGCGTGGAACACAAGACGTGACATTTTTTTTTCATTCTGTTTACACTGCACGATATTAAGGTGTTTTTTTTTCTAGAGGAAAAATGAGTTAAGTGATATGGGGGAGAAGAAGTATAAATGAAAAGTCTTGTTTTTACACTGTAGCAATTCGAGATCTCCCACTTACACTAAAAAACAAAAAGGCATTTTTTTTAATCTTATTTGTCACGTTTGGTTGTTTTGGTGCACTGTCTTGGTGCATTACATTTTTGCACCTCTGGCCCTGTCAGGGTACATTACTTTTTTTGTACCTCTGGGTTAAGATAGGACAGAGGGCTCAGTGATTGCCAGAAGTAATTACATGGGAAGGTTAAGGGTCATTATCTGTTTAAAGATTCAGAATTTGTAAATAAGTAGGGTTACAATTTGCATTTCTTTGTACAATCTGTTATTCAACTGGTGTATACAACGTATGCAATGCTGTGTAAATCGATGGCACTGAGCTTCTTGCCCCTCTAGACCCCTAAAGCAGTTATTGTCAAGTGTACATAATTTCTAAGGAAAACGGGGTGGCCAAAGGTTCTCGGAGTTAGACATCATGGTAGGGAATTGAAATTTGTCATTGGCAGGTTAATTTATGCAGATAGATATTATGCGTTCATATTTCATGTGATGATGGTCTACATTTCTTTCCACATTTTTCCTTTCCTTACCCTCTCTGGTAATAGTTTGAATGATGTATGCGTGCTAATTTTATGAGACTGCTAATTTTATGAGACTGCTTCGTCTGTGACAAATATGTTGGCTAGGCAAATTCGGTCTCTGGTATTGCTGTTCATGATGAATGCAAGCTGAAATTCCTGGAGCTAAAAGCAAAGAGGAATTACAGATATATTGTGTTCAAGATCGATGATATATCCAAGCAAGTGGCAATAGAGAAGCTCGGGAGTCATGATGAAACCTATGAAGATTTCACTAACAGCTTACCAGCTGATCAGTGTCGATATGCTGTTTTCGATTACGATTTCACAACGGAAGAAAACTGCCATAAAAGCAAGATTTACTTCATAGCATGGTAATAGCATATTCCTTTCTCATTATTATTTGCTTGACTTCTTTCATTGCATCTAAACTACTACTTAGAATTTTCAGCTACACGTCTCCTTATCCAAACAAAGCCGACCAAAATTGAGTTTCAGTATTTTCCAAGATATCAGTAACTCCTACAATCTGCGATACTGTTTCATATTTCTTGCTATCAAACAGTAGCCACCAGTGGGCCCTTGACCTTGTGGTGAAACAATCAAAATCCGAGGTTCAAGGTCTCACAAGTTGTGGGTTAATTAGTCTAAATCACGTTAGTGTTTATCTTACCATTTATAGGCCTAGTTGTAATCTTGACGAGTCAATGAATTGTAATCTGTTTAAGTGTTTATTTTAGTATTGTAGGTCTGGTTTGTTGACTAATTATTATCTGAAGTCTGTGATTGTTCTCATGAATAATGCTTTTGCACATCTTATGTTTCTCATAACTGGGATGCAATTTTAGTCTCATACTGCTGCAATTGTCTACTTTGTAGGTCTCCAGACACATCAAAGATCAGAGCTAAGATGGTCTACGCAAGCTCCAAAGATAGATTCAAGAGAGAATTAGATGGTATTCAGGTTGAGTTGCAAGCTACTGATCCTAGTGAGATGAGCTTGGATGTCATCAGATCACGAGCTCTGTAGATTCTCAAACAATTTCACTTGCACCGCAATTTTAGTTTCTATTTACTATTCGCTTGTTTGTTTGTTGGATGGGGTGCAAGAAATACTAGACTTCAGCCTCAGTTCAACTCTGAAGCAACAATGCTACTTTTTGTTTTGGCTGACTTGAGAGAGGTTACATTACATCTAGTGTTAGTGGAGTATGCTGTGTAAGCTACTAGTTGGAACTTCATCTGTTTTGACTTGATACTAGATATATACACGCGTAGAGTGTTTATTGCTCATGAGTCATGACATTGATTGTTGTCAAACTGAATAACTGGTGCATTTCTCTGTCACAAAATATGGTGATGAATGTGAATCAAGAAATTTCTGTTTTCTGCTGCTGCTTTAGTTTACTTCAGTCGTACCGAGTATGTTGCCTAATGTTCTTATTTTGAGTTATAGCCTCGACCTGTAATTATTTCAGAGGCTATGCCTCTTCTCTTGCAAGATTTTTCTCTGCCCTTTTGCATGTAGTATCAATGAAATGAGTCGCAACCTACAAAATGCCATTCAAACGAATTGAGTTACATTATCATGTAGCAGCGACTAATATAAAGCAAACCACATAATCGGAGACGAATCAGAAATTTGAATAAACTGCATGGAGATGGTAGAAGTTATGAGAATAAGAAGAGCTGTATTCTGATTTTACATTTTCAACTTTCTGTCTAGAAGAAAGAATGTAAAATTCAATGCTTTGGAATTCGTCATGATCAAAGAATGGAAGAATGTTTCACATTCATCAATCCTACAAGTAAAGGAGGCGTCCTCTTTGTCAATACTGCACTTTGGATTTTTACAGTACCCCCCAAAAAACAGTTTGCATGTTTCTGCTTTAGAAACCTGATAATGACCGAAGACTCGTACACTTTCCTTTGAAGATTCTTTGGTGTTTCCTTACTTCTCAATGCACAAGACTATATGAGAATGAGCCAATATTCACAAATAGCCTTCAAAACCATGTCTCAGAAAATTGCAAAGCAGCTAAGCAAGCTTTATTTCAATGTTATGAGGTCTTCTTTAATTGATCATCCAACAAATACAGAGTTTGCTTCTTGCGCTTGTCTAGAATAAGAACAAGAGCTGAATAATTCCTCAGCAGATATCTCCTCTTGACCATGCAAATGAAAGGAGACTTCTGTCCCCCATTCCCACTCAAACAATTCAGTTCTTTTTCGTTCCCTTTCTAATGGTTTAAGCAAACAAAACTACTACATTCTTTCTTCTTCCAGGCCATGGAATTCGAAATGAAAACTTTGTGCATATAATTTACTGAAGTATCTGCCAAACACAACTCGTCACCCAAAATGCCGCGTATTGGTAGCAGTTCACTGGCAGTAAAATATATCTGCCAAGAGTTCAAACTTAGTAGAAATGGATAATATATTGCACCATCAACAAAATTAGCTAACATATCTAGATGAAACTTGAAATATAGTAGATAATATGGAGAGATGTATTATTATGTAACGGGCCAGAAGGTTGTTTCATTGCAATACATATGATTCTCAATTCCAATTTGTATTCTTTGCTGAAGGTCACCCTCTGGCTGGCTTTTCTTTTCTTTTCTTTTATGAAGAAGAGCGCGTTGGAACATCTTTAAATAATGAAAGGCCATTACTTATGGTGAACCAAGAAAGGAACAGTTCCCCAGACACCATTCAACTCTGTTAAATGTATGCTTGTAACATCATGCCAATTAATATGAATGGTTGCTTCTAAAAAAGGCATGACATTGCTGCATTTGATATACATACAGATCTGAACAGCAGATAAATTGCTACGTCTTGACATAAAAGAGGAAAAAATGATCTGCTTATATATATTCAGAATTTTACCAGACAATACCTTAAGCAGTTCAAGAATACTATCGTCTGATATTTTCACCAGCTTTAAACGGTTCAATTTGCTTCTTTAGATGTTCTTTTCTTTTAAGAAGATCTTGAATTTTTTGCTGGTCAAAGTGAGGTTGCAGGGTGCAAGGGCTTGACTCTGCAGGATTAGTAACCATGGAGTATGACCGAAACTTCTTTCTTAATCCCTTCGAATTGCAGATCAATGTCTCTGAGCACACTTCCACTGCACCTTTAGGAACAGTAGGCTGGTATTTCAAGAGCTTTGCATATTGGTACAAGACATGAAACATATAGTCATAAACATGTCTCATCATTAGCTTTTCCTGAACAAACCTGCTCCCTGCCTTTCCAATCTCTTGTGCCTGATTATCAGCCAAATATGGAGTTAAATTAAGAATTAGAGCAATTAATTAAACTACGTATATATCAATGAATTCATTGGAACCAATGGGATGGGAAAAATATTTTCAATTACTGGCGACCAGGCAGAGGCCGGCACAAGGGATCAACATATGAACAACGAAGTCAACAAGGAATGCTAGAAAAAAAAGTTACCTGTTTTGCGTGTTTGTTCCCCCACTTTACAGCATTGTTAATAGACCCACACATCTCATTCTCAGTAATTGGCCAATAGTGAACTGTGGGCAGCAAACCCCTGGAGTAGAAATCATAATAGTGGGGATCTATGACCAAACTCATAGAATCACATGCTAATATATACTTTTGACTAACAGACCATGCATGTCCTTCAACATATATTTTGTACCTGCATAGGCAATTTCAAGTAAACAAAATGAAAATGAAGAATAGTTAGGACAAGAATGTTAAAAAAAGCTAGCAAGCCAAATACCTGTGTCTACATTGGCTTGCTAAATCTGTAGTTTTAAAGCCTTCTTTGCGCTCACGTCGCCAGTCCTGCCATCATTTTAAATGCCTAAGAGATTGTAAAAGACAGTTATTCAAAAGAACAATTCTGTGACTAGAGGAAGCATGATCACATCTCTAGTAACTACTTGTGCTTGCTGGTGATTCTTGGTAAAGTGGACTTAGTATGCTCGTTTCCTTCATTATAGAACCACGATGGGAGACCCTAAACTTTTTTGGTCACCTGCCATGCGGTGTAGTTAAATGGCAAGGTATACTGAATGTAATTCCCAGGGCAATTCATATTCAGTAATATCCAATCCTTGAATGTGTGGACACAATTGAAACACTACATGACAGATTTTTGCAGCAATAGACTGCAGTGTGGTCTGAATGCTGCTTCCTTATTAGTCTTAATTTCTTTTCTTCTTGAGGTTCCTTATGGTTTTTTCTGCCTTAAGTTTATGCAGTTAGTTCCTTTCCATCTTGAAGAGGTAAAAAGATACTGGGACAGACGTTCACATTTTTCTGATGTTAACCATCTAATTGCCTGCTAATATCTCATGGCACATAATTATGGAGATCCCGAGTCTGTTATAACAGAGAGAGCATTTTCTACCAGATCATCGATTTGAGTATTCCATTCCTTATTCTTTGAGACATTGCATTTCACAAGACCACGTCTCTGTGGACCTAGTAATGTGTTGCCCTTCCAGTAAGCGTTAGGCTCTCTGTCCATCCACTTAATTTTGTCACTGCTTTCTTTTAAATCCTTCTTCAGGAGCTCCCATGGCTTTATATTGACTTCTGACCTGAAAAGTCCAAGGACATATCAAGAATTAACAAACATATCTATGCCCCTTATAGCTGCAAAATTAGGTGCTTGACATACTGAAATTTGATGTTCTGTGTTTCTCATCAGACTAACTGAAAGAGGATAAAATGTTTACCAACCCCAGAAGGACCAGTCAGGAAAAACGATATCATAAGTCTGATTATCTCCACAGTAATGAAACATTGGTGGTGGAATCGTGGCCTCAGATCCTTCATAATCCTGTTTTTGGATGACTGGCTTGTCACCACACTCGAACATTAGATCCAAGTCTGGTAATTTACCAGGATAAAACCTTAGAAGCTGCAATATACCCCACACTGTAACGACATCTCTTGTTTGGAAGGCACGTTTGTAGTTCTCCACATACACTCGCCCACCAACTATGACTACTCTTATATGTGCTAGAACTCTACCTCTCTCTACCATTTCCCTTGATATTCCAGTGGCCCTCCATGGTTTTAGATCTTCATGGATCCATTGAAAGTACTCTGGACATTCCTCCTCAACACCCGAATGGTTAGCATTTTGTGCCACAGGTAAACTCTCCAAACAATTCAGGAAGCATTCAGGTTTTGTTATAAACTTTATATAGGTTTGAGTCTCTTGAATTTCTTTTGGGACAGAACCTGCATTAATGGACTGAAAATGAGCATTATTAGTCAAGTGTAGCTATTCAACTTTGTTTGCTAATCATAGCTTAATGAATTGATATATTTGCCACATTCCTAGCTTGCAGTGTGCAAAAGAGTTTTGATAGAGGTGCATCCAAAATACTAAATTTTAGGTCCAACATACTGAATCATAACTGGTCAAAGGTTTGGAGGGGAGAATCTGAACTACCGAACCATTTTCGGTCCGCTCATCAGAATTTCGTTCTTGATGCATTAAAAGATCATTTCAAGTCATTCAACAAGTAGCGAGGGAAAAAGAACACAACATTCAATCAGTCAAAAAGAGAAAATGAAGACAAGAAGTTCTTCAAGGAGACTTACAATTTTGATTCGTTTAGTTGCTATGGCAGAGAAAACTAGGATTGTAATAAATACAATTCCAATACTTTGGATCCCACCTTTCCTCTGCAGATCTGTCACTCTTAACATCCCGGAACTCATTCTAGTCCCATGCGATCATAATACCATAAACAGCAGAAAGACCTTCTTAGCGATATAACGAGGTGGACTCAGTTTCCATGACTTAGTCCTATGAAAATCTGTCTGATTATCATCCTCTTTGATCCTTCTTCCACATTTGGGCTAAGTTGGCAATGCAAATTGTTTGGTTTTTCTTTGGACTCTAAGTTGGCAATGCAAATTGTTTGGTTTTTCTTTGGGTATATTGAGTTGTGGCGTGCGAATTGTGATTAAAGCTCTCCAGTCACAGTTGATGGACCATTGGCCAGTGTAACATGCTTTCCGTAAACAAAGGTGAAACTTCAGTGTGCTAATCACCTGAAGATTTGAGGTGTGATAGATAGCTACAAGAACATAAGCTCCGCTTCTTCTTTTTCTTGGAAGAGACAAGATACTCTACTAACTTTACGAGATCATTGGATTGGATGCCATGTGGCATATCCTCTCACAATCCCATACAATGTTTCTACTTATATATATATATATATATATATATATATATATATATATTGATTTTATAACCTGTTGCATTTTTTTTTTACCCCGTTAGAAGCTATGGTAATTTAAGGAAACAAGAAAAATGAAAATAGGAAGTCTGTGCAAGAGAAATGGTAATACAACGGTGACACGAGTGAGAATTAAGATAGAAAGTTGGGCAAAAGATTCACTGCGAAAATTTCCCCGAAAAAAGAGAGTCATCAGGAATAAAAGTGGCTCTCATCAAAGTTCTTTGGCTTCATTGGAGATAGATTTTGGAAACAAGTAGAGTGATGATTCGGTCTTTTGCCTGAGAGGTCAATCATAGATCCATTTGCTTAAAAAACTGATAGTTGTCCTGGTTTATAGGGGGTTTGTATACTGAGATGTGAATAACTTGACCGAGTTTCCAACAAATACAGGAATGAGAGTGTATTTCTTTTTCCTTATTTTGTCGTAGAAGTACTAATGCATGCATGAAGTTCCTTGTCACATATAGTTACTCCCTCCTCCTTATATATTGCAAACACTGCATGTTGGGTGTTTTTAAAATTTAACTAGACAGGAATAAAAGTTGACAATCTCAGGTAATTTGAAGTTCGACCACAAGAAAAAAGATAAAAGAATAATTGGCTGACTAAAGTCATTTTCACTAAATTTGTTACTTCCTGAGTGTACGTATAAAGATCGAAACTAACAAAAAATTAGTAAGGAAACCGACAGACTAATGAGAAGGCCTTATTCATTCTTGATTAGTTTTTCCCAGTATTCAGTTTCCCACTTCTCCGCTTCCTTGGTTAACTTAAACTTCAGATCATTGAAAGCTTTAAGGGCTTCAAGGTCGTAAGGTGGAGGCAATGTGCATGGAATCGTATGGCTAGGAGATGTTACTAAAGATTCTTCCATGAACCTTCTCCAATTTTGATCTGCAGGACATGCCATGGATTCTGGACAAAGTTCAATCGCATTTGGAGGAATGGTAGGTTTAAACTTCAAAAGCTTGCCATATTCATTTAGTAAGTGGAATATGTAGTCATAAACATATTCCATCTTCATACCCTCATGGATAAAGCGGCTCCCTGCTGCTCCAATGGCCTCTGCCTGCATAAACATCCGAAAGCATTTGGCAGAGTTAATTTTCCATCAAAATGTTTGACCTTGTACGTTATAATTTATACAGTATGAACATAGTGCTTTTCAGACAAGCATTGTTATTTGATTGAGTAAATTAGTATGTCTTTTCTAGTTGAAGATAAAAGTCCAACAAACATTCTTGGCCTGGAAAGAAGGGTAGCTAGTACCTTTTCTGTATGATTGTTTCCGTACTCAACCGCAAACTTGAGAGATCTACATTTGTCATTGTCCTTTACGGGCCAATAATGTCGCTGTGGCAGCATGCCTCTTATGAAGAAGTCATGGAAACGAGGAGTCATCAGCAAGACTGCAGAGTCGCATGCAAAAATGTACTTTTCGCTCACTGACCATCCATATCCTTCGATGTAGATTTTGTATCTGCAATTCCAGCACCATAAAGAGGATGTAAGTACTACACACAATAATTTCTGGGTAGTGTTAAAAATGAGGAGAATGTAGAATAATAATGTCATATATGAACGAGTTAACATCTGAAGCTGAAGGATTCACCTATAGGTGCATTGTTCTGCAACATTTGAATGGTTGAATCCTGTTCTTGCCTCTTCCTCCCAGTTCTGAAAAACAAGGCATTGGTTACAAGATGATCAGTCTAAGCCCAATACTAATCCTGAAAAATATGCAGATGAACTTTCATATGATTTCTTGGACCTATAAAGCCTAGCAGATTGGCCCATACTCTTTGATCCTTGTATTGACAAAATTCCTTCCCCTGGCTTGAAAATACTAGTACCGCAATGTTCTCAAATTAAACAGCATTCCATCAAACAAACCAAACTGAAATAGTCATGCAACCTAAAAATATTGTTTGGTATATGTTCTCAATCTTAAACTTTTTCAATATGAGATGCATGCCTCAATAAAAGCAAGTACCTGTAAAAATAAGCGAGTATTCCAATCATCCTTGTCCGTAACGTTGCACGTCATAAGCTCGCCCCGCCAAGGAGCCACATGCGGGTTTCCTCTCCAATAAGCATAGGGTTCTCTATCCTTCCATCTGATTTTCTTGTTCCCTTCTTTAATGTCCTTTTGAATATTTCTCCATGGCCTTATATTCGTCTCAGGCCTACCCAAGATGAAATTTTTACTTGAATTTGTTTAATCACGCATTTTTTGAACCCCAAGATGTCTCTGAGAATTTATTTTGAGAAAGAAGAAAAAAGAAAATTGGATACCCTATACACTTCAAGCAGCCCTATGTATCAATTGGAGTTTTCGTTCTTTGAAACATAGAATTAACGAGGGTTATGTTACTCGATTAAAACCTGAATAAGGATCCAGTCTTCAATGAAAAAAGTTTCAAGTGATTGTGTTATGCCTTATGTGCATGAGTACTGCATCAATTCTTGTGCACTCTAGAAGGGCAGAAATATAATCACTGAAAAGTCTTGGTCTACCAAGAGGACAAATCTCAGTATTAATTGAATTTGGCCTTAAAAGCCATTTGACTAACAAAGCCTTTGCCTCAAAATGAAATCATGCAAAGTCTTCTTCTTGTTATCTTAGAAATCAAAATTAAAGCTAAGTACACAATTGAAGAAAGATTACTGGAAAGTGTTCCAAAAACTTTTTGCTTTAACCTATCCTGTTTTTAAAGTATAGCTTCGTATACTCGCAAAATTTTACAACCAAGAAAAAATCTTTTATTGTTAGTACAAGCGTTTCAGATAGAATACCAGAAAAATTTGTCAATATGGGCAGACAAGAAATCCTTCCTTCATTAATTGATATGGTGATCAAATTTTGGTTGCCCTCTGAATTAGTACTAATTACCATCATTATAAGATTTTGGAACAAGAAAATATGGAGATTAATTCAATGTGGTGTAAATGAATTACCAGCCCCAAAACGTCCAATCTGGGAAGACAATATCCAGATTCTGTGAATCGGAGCAATACCGGAACAAAGCTGGAGGACCAGCATTGGGTCCACGATAGTCCTTGGATGGGATGACCGGCCGATCGTCACAGTCAAACATCAATTCAAGATCAGGCAGTCTTCCGGGGTACTGCCTCAGAAGCTGCAAAATACCCCACATAGTGAATGATTCTCTGGTCGGCATTGATTCCTTAATCTTTTCTACATAAACCTTCCCGTCTAGGATCACCAGTCTAAAGTGTGCAGGCTCTCTTGCTCTCTCCACCATATCCCTAGTGATTCCTGTCCCCTTCCAGGGCTTTAGATCTTCATGAATCCACCGAAAATAATCTGGGCATGTCGGATATGAGGAAGGGTAGTGATCATTCATTGGTTCGTAAGTGGTGGGATATTTACTTGAGCAGGTCTTGTTCTTCTGATCCCATGCAATGCAGTCAAGAGGGTGCTCAAGAGGAGGAGGATGGAATCTCGTGGTTTTCTCGAACAATTTGAGTACATTTTCGTAGGAAATGCTTGAAAAGTCATCCTGAAAATTAATCAACACATGAGTAAATAAAATTTTTCAAAAAATGCATGAAAATTTTAGTCAATAATTAAACGTCCGATTGTAATAGTATATATCCAATCCCTCATTAATCTACCCTCAAACCACGAAATATACAATCAAAGTAATGATGCAAGTGAAAGCTGATAAGAATTATAGTGTGGACTTTTCGAAAATGATGAAAATTTTAGAACAGTTAAAACCTAAAATGAAAAAATATATATATATCATGTAGGTATATGAGATAAGTTTTGCAACGAGCAAGATACACTTGCGTCATTGGTGCAGACTTCATCATTAAAATTACGTTTTTTAATGATACACTTTAGTTAAGTTGGAATTGAGTGGGAAGAAATATAAACTCACAAAATGATGAATCCAACCCGCCAAACCTAAGAGTGAAACGACTAAGACAGAAAGGAGGAGAAGAAGTGCAGTGGTGGTCAGACTAAGAGTAGAGCCATTTTTCAACGGGTGCAATTTTATTCCCCATGAGCGTCTTTGATATGCAGGCCTTAGCCAGAAGATATTCTTCAACTTCTCATCCCGGAAACTCATGCTCGAGCCTCCTGCTTCTTATACTTGAAAGAATTCCACAATTCTAGTGAACCTATAGCCCTGTAATTCCGATACAAAAGTGTCTGATATGTAGTATTACAAAGCCCTGGTCTCGATTGATAATTTGATGTGCATGCATGCGTACAAAAAATGTGTATGAATTGCAGTTGAGGAAGTCCTTGATAGAACGGAAGTTGGTGAATATGGTGAAGTATTAAATGCTTTCCTTGCTGTATAATATATAGGGTAGTCTTGAGTGATACCCTAAATTGTAGTTCTGGACCATGGCCTATGCAATATTTTTATACCCGGACCGGAGAGTGAATCGGAAAACCTTCCAGTTCATGGTTTGATCGGTTCGATTCTGGTTCAAAGGTTTAATAAATTTTTATTTATTTTAGTATTAAAAATTTTGAATAAAATAAAATATTTTAATTTTATTTTAAAAAATAAATACTTAATAAAAATCAGTTGAACCTTTCGATTTTTACCGATTCAATTGGTTCTTGATCGATTTTGACCGATTTAATTAATTCTTTGGATTTTTAATTGAATCGGACCGGAGGCATGGTTGATTTGCGATTCAACCGATCGAACCGGCCGGTCTGATCCGGTTTTCAAAACATTGGGCCTATGGAGTAAGCAAACTCTTCAAAAATCTCCGGAAATTCAATCACAATTTATTGGAGGACAGTCCGCTAGCAGCTCTCACTGCCTACTTTTTATTAATGTAATCGTGAATGGAGTTATTTGAGTTCAACTATTCGTGAACCAATACAACATTGCATCCAAATTGAATCTTTTTATTCAGAGCACTTGTATACACTATGATGTATTGGTTGATTGAGCAATATTGTAGTTTAACTCTAATGAGCATTTAGAAAGAGTGAAAATCTAGAATAAGTTTAAGGAAAGGTTTGAAACCAAGATACAAGGTGCTTGTCAATAGCACTATAATTGACCTTTTCTTTAACACATTTGAATGAAAATCACTATCATTAAATGGGTTGTTGTAAATATACTGAAATGAAGGATATTTTTGTCTAATTAACATAAATTATCAAAGAAAATACCATTAACAAATAAGAGAATGCCATTAAGAACTCCTTTTGAGTAAAATAAGTTTTTCAATTGAATGGAAGAATTTTTGCATAAATCATATAAGATAATTTGAACTAGGGGTGTAAATTAATCATGCTACTCGATTCGAGTTCACCAGTAGCTTGGTCAAATGTTCGACTTAAACTTAGTGCTAATCGAGTTTGAATCAAGTTTGATCTACTTAAGTAATCGAGTCGAATTCGAGGGGAAAAAAACAAAACTCTAGTACCTGTTGAGTTTTATTGAGTAGGGTATCTATAATATAATTTTTACTTATTTACTGTAAAATTATGAAATTTACTAAAAAAAAGTTCAGGTTGAAAACTCGATTGAATTCAATTCAATATTAATCTCGATTAAATTCGACTGAGTTCGATTTAGTCAAATTCAAGGTAAAATAAGTTCGAATTCGAACTCGAACTCAACTTTATAGAATTTGACGAGCTCGAACTCGAGCATTCGAACTAGATTCGATTCAATGGCAGCCCTACTTGGATCAAAATCTAGAAGTATGCCAAACTTCCACGCGTCTCAATATTTATCGAGTCAGGAATTCACTGAAATTAAAAGTAAATTATTCCAAGTGAATACTACGTCACAAAAAGGTAAATGCGAGATCAAAAAGTCAATACCGAATACCGAATTTTCAAGAACAACCTAAAAGTTTGGTCGTCATGCACCTTCACTAGCTTCAATGTTAGAACAACCTAATGTGATGACTAGATTGATAGAGTTGGAAGTAAATTAGGAAAAGAAGAGAGGAGGACAGATAGGATAATGCAAATACAAAAAATAATTTAAGACTAATATAAAATAATTGAATGACTAATCTGATCGTCATAAATAACAGGAGAAAAATATAAATCAACAAAAAATTAGCTGACAAGTCATACAACTAAACCTCATTGACGGCTGGTTGGCTTGTCCCAGTATTCATTTTCCCAGTTCTCGACTTCCTTGGTTAACTTAAACTTTTCGTCATTAAAAGCTTTTAGGGCTTCAGGGCTATAGGGTGGAGGCAATGTGCAAGGATTTGTGTGAAGACTGGGAGATTTCTCCAAGGATTCTTCCATGAACTTCCTCCAGTTTCCATCTGCAGGGCATGCCAGGGCTTCTGCACAAAGTTCCATTGCATTTGGAGGAATGGTAGGCTTAAACTTCAAGAGCTTCGCATATTCATTGAGTAAATGGAATATGTAGTCATAAACGTATTCCATCTTCATATCCTCGTGTATAAAGCGGCCTCCTGCTGCTCCAATGGCCTCTGCCTGTATATGCATGCATCCAAGCGTTAATTGATATTCCATGGGTAGAAATTAGCCTAATTATATGGATTGATATTTCTTACACCGACAATACATACACTAGCGAACTTATATGCATAAAAAAGCATCCAAGCGTTAATTGATATTCCATGTGTAGAAATTAGCCTAATTATATGGATTGATATTTCTTACACCGACAATACATACACTAGCGAACTTATATGCATAAAAAATTAATCTGAATTTGAATCTGAATTTCAAATTTTGCTGACGACAGTCATGGCAACTGTCCGTGTTTAAAAACAAAAAACTAATTCTAAATATATACACTGACAATACAAAATTATTCTATTACTACATTTATGAAAATCTTTTCAACTCTTACCTAACTCATATTATTTGTGGATCTTAAAAGGGGATTATGCGGCATATTAGAATTTCATTTTCATTTTCTTCTAATTGTAGTAGTACCTATCTCCAAAACTATGAGGGGAAAAGTGTACCTTTTCTGTGTGATTGTTGCCATACTCAACAGCAAATTTAAGAGATCTACATTTGTCATTGTCCCTAACTGGCCAATAGTGGCGCTGCGGCACCATGCCCCTTATAAAGAAATCATAGAAACGGGGAGTTATTAGCATCACCGGTGAGTCGCATGCGAAGATGTATTTTTCACTCACGGACCATGCCCATCCTTCTATGTAAATTTTGTATCTGCATTACATGGGAAAAAAAATCCCATTATCAATTGTTTAGATCTAATAAATTAAGCTACTTGCAGAAAAGAAGCTTACAACAATAGCACTATGTAACGTATATAAAAGAAAAGACTTCTTCTTTCTTCTTTTTTTTTTTCCAAAAAAAAATTTGGATGGATTCGATTCCGATCACCACCACCACGAATAAGGACATCATGCCCTGCAGACGGGAAGTTACTTACAGGGATTTTTATAAATCGTCCACCAATACAATCATTCGAAAAAGAAAAAAGGCTTCAAAAATCTCTTTTTTTTATATATAAAAGTCATATAATTGCATTTTTTTTTTAACAGCTATGGGAAGTTCCATTCAACTTTTAAACGACGGTCAAAGACGAGCCAGATGTAGTTGAAACATAGGAGTGAGTAAGGTTGTAATTGAGTCGAGTCGAGCCCGAGTATCGCCATACTCGAGCTCAACTCGACATGCAAGAAGGCTGCTCGAGCTCGAGGTTGAGCGAGTACCATTATTGGAGCTCGAGCTCGATGCTTGCTCTCAATACTCGAGCTCGACTCACATGGGCTCGAGTCCATGCGAGCCTTATCGAGCTCCAAAGAGTTCGAGTTATTAAAATTCATTTTCTTGATAATTTTTTAGCGAAAAGACATTATTGCCCTTTTAAAATTTTTATTGACTTAAAATATTTCGTAAATTCGATAATTCTTTTGGGTATAAGAGTAATTTTATAATAATAATATATTAAATAATTAAAATTAAAATACTCGATAAGACTCGTCGAGCCTTCAAGCATCGCTTCTGGATGCTCGAACTCGACTCGATAACCTTATCGAGCTGCTCGAACTCGACTTGAACTCGATTTGATCGAGTTCGAGTCAAGCTTTTGACCGAGCTGCTCGCGAGTTACTCACGAGCAGTTCGGTTCGATTACATCCCTAAGAGTGAGATGCTATATAACATAAAATACAAATTGAAGTAAAACATACTTATGAAGAATCAATTAACATTCAATCCGATAGAGACAGACTCTTAAGAAAATGCAGAGTGAGTTCAACGTTCAGGATTTTGAGATTCACCTGTGAGTGCATTGGTCTTCAA